TCATCATCATCATCATCATCATCATCATCATCATCGTCATCATCATCATTATCATCATCATCATCATTATCAGTATTACTATTACTATCAATAGTACTATTATTACCGTACATTATTATAATACAATTCACAGTTACCTAGCTGGGTCTTAGCTGGAGACTCTGGCGGGATCCAGAAGAGGATGAGGGTGATGGAAGTGAGGAGGATGCAGGGCAGGATGAGGATGTAGTTGTAGAGAGCTGAGCGACGCTGGAAGATGAGGTGGTATTGAAGGTTGACGAACGTGTTGTCTGGGCAGCAGGTGTAGTTGATCACGTGACGGAAGGCAGGACAGTCGATGATGAACCTGGCGAGGGAGGAGAGAAAAAACAAAATAAAACCAACATAATATTGACATGATTTATTTGATTAATACATCTAACATCATTTACGAGTCACAATGTTCCGAATTTACCCTCAAGGCGAACATTGGCTATTAAAGAAAATATATTAAATTCCAATGTTGGTGTTTCACTCACCCCCCCCCCCCTCCCTCACCCTTGTCTCAAATTAGAGTACCGACTTTCAGACGTAATATAAATATCCCCCCCCTCCTCCACGGGAATCGAACTCAGATCTTCTACTTGCGAGGGTTAAGCAGTTAGGCAACTATCCAGACTGAGTATGATACAGCATTCTAGCAGACCAACCACAGCACCACAGATACTGGTTTGTGAGATGGCATAAAGACCAGAGAAAGCGTAATTAACAAACATTATTGCTGAGACATCATTATGTCAAAGCTCACAATAAGAGTAAGAATACAAATCAGAACAAGAGTGGCAATTATTGTGATTAAAAGGAGAATTGAATGAGAATCAGAATAACTAATACAATTTTTTTTAATGCGAACGAAAATGAAAAGGAAAATAACAAAGAGAAATAAAGGGAACAAAACGTTTCACAATGAGAGAAGAAGCCATTATGAGCATGGCTACAGCTAATGAGAAAGAAACCTTTCGTTGACATCTAACTACAGAGTAACTAGATCGACTTCGCCTTCCTTTCTGCCCCCTCCCCCCGAAACGTAAACCATTGCCCCTACACACACACACCCACACACACCCACACACCCACACACACACACACACACACAAACACACACACAAACACACCCATACACACACAATCTTTCTCTTTCCCTCTCTCCCTCTCTCTCCCTCTCTCTGTCTCTGTGTGTGTGTCTCTCTCCCTGTCTCTCTCTCTTTTTCTCTTTCCCAAACACAAACACACACATACACACACACAAACACACACATGCAAGCACACAAAAACAGACACATACGCATATACACGCCAACACAGAGAAACTCAACACAATCTCTCTCTCTCTCTCTCTCTCTCTCTCTCT